AACTGGTGGAGAATGTGGGCAAGTGAGAATTGAGGTTAGATTCTGTCCTAACGTGTGTGTGTTGTCTCTCATTACCTTACAGATCCAGCTCTCTCACACTGTCTCTAGTGCAGCATGGAAGACATCTTGCGCCGGCTGGCCGAGGTATCTCTCCGTCAGCAGAAGTTTGCAGAGGAGCTGGCTATCCGAAAGGGCTGAGTGTGAGTTTGAGTGGCTCCGTCAAGAGACCGCCCAGCGAGCCCCACTCCCCAGTACCCGGGCCGTAGCCGGCCAGCTGCTCACCAAATTAACAGATCTTGATGATGTAGAAGCCTACCTCCACACATTTGAAATTGTGGCAGAGCGAGAGGGGTGGCATGAGTCCGATCACTCAATAAATGCCCCTTCGGGGATATTTCACCACACGTTGAGTCTGAGCCTCCTTTCTCCCGCCATAACTGGTGGAGAATGTGGGCAAGTGAGAATTGAGGTTAGATTCTGTCCTAACGTGTGTGTGTTGTCTCTCATTACCTTACAGATCCAGCTCTCTCACACTGTCTCTAGTGCAGCATGGAAGACATCTTGCGCCGGCTGGCCAAGCCACTGATTATGCAGCACTGAAGCAGGAGATATTGGCCCGGGTGGGGCTCTCATCTGTGTGTGCAGGGCAGCGGTTCTTTGAATGGGTGTATGATCCTCGGGCCACCGTTTGAGTACAGGCCGCCCAACTCTCCAGGTTGGCCCATCTATGGCTTCTCACAGCCCAGGCTACCGCATTGCAAGTCGCAGAGAAGGTGGTGGTAGACAAGCTGCTCCGTTCTCTGCCCCGGGTGCACCGGAAGGCTGTGGGGATGCGAAATCCAGAGTCGCTGGCCGAGTTGGGACAAGCAGTAGAGCTGGCGGAGGCAGCTCAAGCATGAGACTTGGGAGAGAGAGCTGGAGCAGGATTTTCTCAGAGAATACAGAGTGACAAACGACCACTGGAGAGTACCACTATGCCAGTAAGCAGACCAGTCACAACCGGGCCACGGGATGAGCCTATGACTACCGATCCCAACCCACTAGCAATGCGGGTGTGGCTAGCAGGCTGTATTGTGCACCGAGCTATAACCTCTGGGGCTCCGGAAAGGAAAGTGAGGATTGACGGACGCCCAGTAAAGGCATTGTTGGATTCTGGCAGTTCAGTGAGTCTGGCCCGTCCAGACATTGCACCAATGAAGGATGAAGGTAAAATAGTGATGCCCATCACCTGTGTGCATGGGGACACCCGGTATGTGCCAGCCCGTTCTGTTACTATCTCCACAGACACAGGGAGATGGAGGATGGAAGTAGGAGTAGTAAAAGATCTACCAGTACCCCTCCTGCTCGGTCGCGACTGGCCAGGGTTCGAACGCCTTCTGTCAACCACAATGCAACCTTCCAGGCAGCGTCGACCACGCAGAGGAGGAGCGAAACAGGAGGCCCACGTCGACCAGTGATGCTTGCCACTGACAGTGAACCAGAGGGTGAGTCACATGCTTCCCAGATAAACGTGTACCCTGATCTGTTCCAACAGGTAACAGCGGGAGGCTCATTTAGCAGAGAACAGAGAGAAGATGAGCGCCTTAAGAACTGCTGGGATCAGGTTCGAGTAATTAATGGAAAAGAGCGTCTACCCCCGCCCCATCCAACACCACATTTCATTGTGGAAAATGGGCTGCTCTACTGCGTGGCACTTAGGAGGGGTGAGGAAAAGCGTCTGTTGGTGGTGCCTCAAACCAAGACAGGAATGGTTCTGTTCCTGGCCCACTCG